GGGGGGGGGGGGGGGGTTGCGGGAGAGCGCGTCCTTCTCTTGCTAGGGAGTGAAGGGGAGAGCACTCAGGAGTCCACCTCCTATTTCCAAGAAAAACACACACTGTCGGGCCCGGCCCTGTTCTGAATTCTCTCTACCCCTTGTCTCCCCAGAACCTCAGAAATCGAGAGCTTCTTCCTCTGGGAGCTGCACGCCTGCATTTTCTCTTCTCCTGCCACTCTGCAAGTGCTCTTTCTCTGTTTTAAGAGGTGATATGGTGGACAGAAAGCAAAGGACTGGGGGCTAGAAGTCCTCACTTCTCATCCGGGCTCTACGGCTACCTGGCTGCCACCTCTTCCTATGGGTCTCTGTTTCCTCAACTACCTCACTGGACAGCTTCTGACTCCAAGCAGTGCTAAACCAGTGTGTGGTTCCAGGAGCTCCTCCTCTCCAGGGCCGAGATCCGGGGACAGGGAGCAGGCTGAGTTCAGGAGTCGTGGAGATAGCACTCATGAACCTGCCTCCACAGCTCTCTTTCGCCCTCTACGTGGTCGCCTTTGCACTGGGCTTCCCACTCAATGCCCTGGCCATCCGAGGCGCAGTGTCCCATGCCCGGCTCCGCCTCACTCCCAGCCTGGTCTATACCCTCCACCTGGGCTGCTCTGACCTCCTGCTGACAGTCTCTCTGCCTCTGAAGGCAATGGAAGCCCTGGCCTCAGGAGCCTGGCCTCTGCCAGCCTTGCTCTGTCCTGCCTTTGCGGTGGTCCACTTCACTCCACTCTACGCTGGAGGGGTCTTCCTGGCTGCCCTGAGTGTTGGCCGCTACCTGGGAGCAGCCTTCCCCTTGGGCTACCAAGCTATCCGGAGGCCATGCTACTCCTTGTGGGTGTGTGCAGCAATATGGGCCATTGTCCTCTGTCACCTGGGGCTGATCCTTGGGCTGGAGGCTCCGGGAGGCTGGCTGGACAATACCACCACCTCCCTGGGCATCAACACACCAGTCAACGGCTCTCCAGTGTGCCTGGAGGCCTGGGACCCAGCCTCAGCCGGCCCTGCCCGCCTGAGCCTCTCTCTCCTGCTCTTCTTTCTTCCCTTGGCCATCACAGCCTGCTGCTATGTGGGCTACCTCCGGGCACTGGCCCACTCAGGCCTGAGCCACAGACGGAAGCTAAAGGCAGCCTGGGTGGCCGGTGGGGCCCTGCTCACATTGCTGCTCTGCTTAGGACCCTACAATGCCTCCAACGTGGCTGGCTTCCTACACCCCAACATGGGAGGCCAGTGGCGGAAGCTGGGGCTCATCACAGGTGCCTGGAGTGTGGTCCTCAACCCACTGGTGACCGGCTACCTGGGAGAGTGTCCCAGCCGGGGGTCAGTATGTGTGGCAAGAACACAGGGGGGAGCATCCCAGAAGTAGCAGCTGCTGCTCAGGGGAAGGGCCATGGAGCAAGAGAGCCTGGGTGCTTCTCCTGGCCCCTCGTGGGAGCTGCTCCCGAGGACCTGCAGGGCAGCCTTGCCTGGAGGCATTCCTGGAGCCACTCAGGGAAGGTACTGAGCCTGGTGAGGACAGCATCCCAGTCTCTAGGTGGCAAGGGAAGGTAAGCTTGTCTCTGCACACTCCAGCTCACCTCCTGCTCTGTCTGCCTCTCCCCTGCTCATGTCCTCACCTCTAGTGGGCTATAGGCAGACGCCTTGTACTCATGTGGAGGAGGGACATTTGTTTCTAATCTAGAGGAACTGCCACTCTGTGATACACTTTAGGAGATGCTACTCTGAAGTCATTTCCGAGGAAAGACCACTTTAACTTGGGTGTGAGAGGAGGCGGGACAGTGTTATACCATTTTGAACTCACAAGGGGGCAGCATTAGAGCTGTGAACAGGAAATTGGTAGGAAAATAGGCTTCAGCAGGCGGAGGGAAAATACAAGCAACATCAGTGATCACTGAAGGCAACATAGTCTCTAATACATGACAGGCACCGTGCTAGTGCTTTATAGTGGGCGTGGTCTCATTTCAACCCCACACAAATCTTTGATTTAGCCATGCAAGTGCTGCACAGATGGGCAGGTGTATCACTACACCAGGGTAGCAGGCAGAGGGGACAAACTGACTAAATCCTAGCTTGTGCTCTGCTCACCAAGCTGCCTGCCTGCCATGCTTCCAATCAAGGGAAGGAGCATCCTTCTAATTTGAACAAAGACACCACCCACTCCTCTTGCAGTGCATCCTGGTGCAGGGTGGAGATCCCCTAGAAAGGGCACCTTTTCCTAATTTGCACAAAGGTGCCCATGAAGTAGCTATGGTCCTGGAGCCAAGTACATTACCATCTCCATGCTGTGGGGTTAAGAAACTTGCCTGAGGCCCTACAGCAGGGAAAGGGTGGAAGTGGGATCCTTCTAAGCAGGACTCCCAAGGGTCCCTTTGGAAAACTTAGAGTGTCGGAGTGAACACCTACATTTGTGGTCCATTTTGCAAAGATGAAGGATGGCACCCCTAACCATCCCGTGCGAGAGGGAGGGCAGAGGAGAGTGGCCGTGAAGGAGACAGACTCCTGGCGTCTGCTCTGAGGAGGCAAGGTGTACGAGTCAGACTTGTTCCTCTCATGACAACTGTGCCATGAACATAGAGGGGCACAGCAAGTGGTGGCTACATGGCTGGCATGCACGAGCCGGTTCACACAAATGATCTCTTTTCGTGTCTAAATGTCTACAAGTGTGAGGATTTCTGTTCTCTCCAATGATATATACCCAGCACCTAGAAGACAGACTGCCAAATAGTAGTCACTCAGAAAATGTTTGCTGAATGAAAGAATGCTCATAACAGCCCTGCAAAGAAAGTCCTATTACCCTTGTTTTATAAATATGGAAAGAGACAGGCCAGAGGAGTTAAGTAACTTTCTGTGAAAGCCAGAAACAAGCTCAGCCCCTCTGTGGTGGTGACACCAGAAAATTTCAGTAAAAGCTCAAACTCCAGCCCGGGCAGCCCACTGAACCCTCATCCTCCTCCCTGCCCCCCATTGTCAGGGACCTCTCTCTATTCCCACTGGTCCAGAGCACCTGCTGGACACCGGGCCACTTCTCCCGGTTACTTGTGCCTCCTCCCGCTTAGAGGAGAATCCAGCTCCTCCCTGAGGCCCATGAGGCCCTGCATGATCCACTCCCAGCTTCCTGGAGCCCCCTTGAGCCCTGAACCTTCTACCGGTTCCCCCAGCAGGACAGGCCTGTGCACCTGCCGTTCCCTCTGCCATGTCTTCTCCAGAGGCTCTTTGCCTCTTTAGGATTGATCTCCTTATTGTCCTGCCCCCACACCGATCCCTCATGCCATCCCTTCCCACACACCAAATATAAGCACATGACAGCAAAAACTTTCTTTTGTTCACTGCAGTGCTTTTAACAACTTAATTGGGACATACAGGCTGAACATCTCTAATCCGAAAATCTGAAATCTGAAATGCTCCAAAATCTGAAACTTTTTTTTTTTCCTTTTTGTCTTTTTTTCGTGACCGGCAATGGATCGCAACCCTCAGTGTCGCGCCCATACCGGACCGGGACCGGCCACGGGATCGCAACCCTCGGTGTTGCTCCTGCACCTCGCTCAGCCAGTGAGCGGCCGGTCTGTATGTGGGATCCGAACCCTCGGCGGGAGTGCCGCCGCGCTTCCCAAGCGGCGCACTGTAGCAGTGCACCACCGGGCCAACCCCCAAAATCTGAAACTTTTTGAGCACCGACACAACACTGAAAGGAAATGCTCATTGGAGTATTTTGGATTTGGGGTTTTCAGATTAGGGATGCTCAACTGGTCATGTATTCTGAAAATATTCAAAAATCTGAAAACATCCGAAATGCAAAACACTTCCAGTGTTTGGATAAGGGATACTCAACGTGTAATTTACATATAAAATTTGCTCACGTTAAGTGTGCGATTCAATGATTTTTAGTAAATTTACTGGGGTGTGCTCTCGTCCCCATAATCTAGTTTCAGAACATTTTCATCACCTCATGCTCATTTACAGTTAATCTCTATTTCCACCCCAATCCCCCAGAAAACCTCTCATCTACTTTCCGTCTCTATAAATTTGCCTATTCTGGACATTTTATATAAATGGAATCATATTATATGTGGTCTTTTGTGCCTGGCTTGTTTCACTTAGCATAATGTTCTTGAGCCTTATCCATGGTGTTGTATGTATGTAGTTCATTTCTCTTTATGGCTAGACAGAATGCCATGTATGGATGTGGCACGTGTGCTTATCCAATCACTAGCTGATGGACCACCGGCAATGTGTCCACATTTTAGCTATTATGACTAATGCTGTTATGAACACTTAAGAGCAAGTCTTTGTGTGGACACATTTCCATTCCTTTTAAGTAAACACCTACAGTGGAATGAATTATTGGGTTGTGTGGTAAATTTATGTTTAACTTTTTAAGAAACTGCCAAACTGCTTTCTAAAGTGGCTGCACCATTTTACGTTCTCACCAGCAATGAATGAGGCTCCCTTTTCTGTACGTCCTCGCCAACAGTTGGTGTTGTCTGACTTTTTTGCTTATAGTTATTCTCGTGGGTATGAGATGATATCTCATTGTGCCCCATATATATCTGAATGAACAAATAAATTATCTCTGAAGCTGGACAGAACTCGGGTTTACACCCTGGAGGTGATACTTAACAAGCTGTGTCACCTGGAACAAGTCACTTCCCCACTCCCTTTTTGAGGGGCAAAAGGATCTCATGACATCAGGGTGAGAAGCAGAGTGTCTGTTATGGATCACGTGTCCACTAAAAGGCAGCTGCTACCACCATCACGACCGCCATCATTATCATCATCATTATTATTATTACTACCACGACAGAGTGACTGGGATGACAGCAGCTAACACGTGCTGAGCTCTCAGCTCCACAGGCCAGGCTCCATTCTGAGCACTTGATATGTATGAACATTTTAATCTATGAGATTGGTGCAATGATTATCCCTGCTTTATAGATGAAAAAGGGGACACACGAAGAGTTTAAGTCACTTGCCCCAAATCACAAAGTTAATAAGTAACAGAACCGTATGGAGCCAGGCTTCTGGCCCCAGAGACCAGCTCTCCATCACTGCATCATGCTTCCTGCCTTTACAAGGCAAACTGGATAAGTGCCATTCTAGGGAGGCAGACAAAATTCAAGTGGAGGAGAGGGGTGAGAAAGACAAAGTCTGCTCGGGCTGGTCTGGGCATCCCGTCTGAGGCTGCCCGAGGAGCAGGCACGCAGTTGTGGAATTTGCTCCCTTTTTTGCATACTGACGCAGCCCTGGTAACGGAGCTCAAGGCATCTTTTGTGCCATTGTTCAACAGTGAGTGACGTCATGGGCACTGCCAGGTCTTTATCAGTTCTGCCAGATAAAGAGCTGACCGCCCTTGTTCTGGAGGAGACGGCAAGGTGCTGTGCGGCAGAGCGCTTGTGTTTGCCAATAAGCAGGTGAGCGTGGGACACAAGGAGCTCTATGGAGGAGCTCCTCGGTGCTTTCTTTGTTGGGGAGGGAGACAGGAGTCAGGGCATGATGAGGAAGACAGGCAGGCTGAGCCCACTGCAGAAAGCATCTGGGGACATCGGGATGGTGGCGGTGACCATGTTCCCTGTTGGTAGGTGAGATGCTGCTGGTGAGGGGTGGGAAGACCCCCACCCTGACTCCCATCTCCAGCTCTCTCTCTCTCTCTCTCACCAGTGGCCATGATCATGGGTACAAGCCTGGACCAGACCTTCTTCCCTGGCAATCACTGGCTCTACTTCTCTGTGTACCTCTTCACCTTCCTCGTGGGGCTCCCTCTCAACCTGGTGGCCCTGGTGATCTTCGTGCGCAAGCTGCGGCGCCGCCCGGTGGCGGTGGACGTGCTCTTACTCAACCTGACCCTCTCGGACCTGATCCTGCTGCTCTTTCTGCCGTTCCGTATGGTGGAGGCAGCCAGTGGCATGCACTGGCCCCTGCCCTTCAGCCTCTGCCCCCTGTCCGGATTCCTCTTCTTTACCACCATCTATCTCACATCTCTCTTCCTGACAGCTGTGAGCATTGAGCGCTTCCTCAGCGTGGCCTATCCACTGTGGTACAAGACCCGGCCACGGCCAGGACAGGCCGGGCTGGTCAGTGGGTCCTGCTGGCTGCTGGCTGCTGCTCACTGCAGTGTGGTTTATGTCACTGAATTCTTGGGAAACTCCTCCCACAACCAGGGTGCCAATGGGACCTGCTACCTGGAATTCCAGGAGGACCAGCTAGCTGTTCTCCTGCCCGTACGGCTGGAGATGGCTGTTGTCCTTTTTGGGGTACCCCTGCTCATCACCAGCTATTGCTACAGCCGCCTGGTGTGGATCCTTGGCAGGGGAGCCAGCCATCGCCGGCGGAGGAGGGTGGCAGGGCTCGTGGCAGCCACGCTGCTCAACTTCCTTGTCTGCTTTGGGCCCTACAATGTGTCCCACGTCGTGGGCTACATCCAGGGTGAAAGCCCAGCATGGAGGAGTTACGTGCTGCTCCTCAGCACCCTGAACTCCTGTGTCGACCCCCTGGTCTACTACTTCTCATCATCTGGGTTCCAAGCAGACTTTCAGGAGCTGCTGAGGAGGCTGACCGGGGCCTGGAGCCCTTGGAGGCAGGAGAGCAGTGTGGAACTGAAGGTAAAGAATGAAGGGGAGGGGCAGGTGCAAGACTGTCCAACATAGAGAATGGGTAGTAGACTCGAGGAGGGCTGTGGAATGGTTGGCCAAGTGGCCTGGGCCTGGGCTAGGTCTTCTGGAGCAGGAAGGTGTAGCTGGTGTATCCTCCCCAGGGCAGTTCCTAGCTCAAGGCGGGCAGGACGGACCTTGGCACAGCAGGCTGGGGACTGATGCAGTTCAGGGCAGAGCAGGCACCCAGCTTCCTAAAGACGTGCTCACCAAAGCCCAACTCCTGATCTCACCTCCCTTCCCATCCACCCACACCCTATGGGTTCAGCTCTGGGAAGTAGTCAGGTGAGAGACTGCTCTGTAGAAAAATGAGCTCCGCCTAGCAGCAGGCCAGCTCCTATGCTTTCCTGAGGGTCGGGGAGGAGTGATGAGCAGTACTCAGGGTGTGAGGAGCTGCCCGGTGGCTTGGGATGGGAGAGGGGAGGACTCCACCTTTCAGAGCTGTTCCTACCCAGCAAGTCAGGAGTGGGGGAGATAGGGCTCTGGGTATGAGGGAGCATCCTGCTCTCACAGGGGCTTTTCCAGAAAGTTTCCATTGCTCAATCAATTCAGATCTTCAGGGACATTCATGAACAATGACTGAAGAATAATTACGCAAATAAATTTGACAGCAAGCAAAAGAGAATGGCCTTTCTTTATTCTGTTGTTTTTTCTCATGGTGTATGTGGGTCGGGGGGGCTTTTCCAGAAAGTTTCCATTGCTCAATCAATTCAGATCTTCAGGGACATTCATGAACGATGACTGAAGAATAATTACCCAAATAAATTTGACAGCAAGCAAAAGAGAATGGCCTTTCTTTATTCTGTTGTTTTTTCTCATGGTGTATGTGGGTCGGATAGAATTGGTGGATGGAAAGACAAAACATCCAGACTGAAGGAAGAGGCTAAACAACATGCCTAGATGCTGGGGGAGGATCTGGGTTGGAAGAACAAAAACAACAGTTAACCTGT